GACTTTATCTATCTCCAACTGTATATCTGAACTTGCCTCTCTTGCACTAACGATACAGAGGAAAATAGGAGACTGATGTCTCTTGGTCTGGAGAGGCATTCTGAGGAATGAAACAGGAGAGCAGGGGGGAGTCAGCAGATGGAGGTTGATGACTGGTGCTTATTCTGTCTTTCCTGTCAAGATGTTACCCTCTTGGTGATGACTAATTGTGAGTTATTTTCTTGACAGGATGTACCTTTTGTGAGGAGCTGGCAGAGGTTTCACAGTCCAACCAACATCCACCAACCATCAAACCACCAGAAACAAACGGTTACCCACCAGCTAACACCTGTGAAGGTTCCTGACATCTCCAACATGTGGGAGATGGTACCCCAAACAGTCTACCAGTGCTAGAGTCTAGGGTGGCTCAAAAGACCATGTGTTCTAATTGGTGATAGAGACTTGCTAATTACCAGTGCAGTAATGTGTCCTCTATGGTGAGGTACTCTCTGACTATTTGATCCAGTGGAGCAGAATTCCCAGAGTCAAAGACAGTCGAATCATCCGGAGCTGAAGGAGGCATCATAGGCAGAAAGGACAGAAGCTAAGTCTGATGCTCATTTGCTGTTTGTTTCCTCACAGCTCCATTGGTTTCAATGATGACATATAGTCACCTCTAGGACCGGCTGTCTATATAGTGTCCTTGGGATCTAGACATTAGTGTTGAGATTCTTTCACTGATAGCTGGAATTCACTTCAATTTTGTTTTAATGTACAGATATTATACTAAATACATGCATTCATTTTCATGGCTGACTTAGGGTTCTCTATGTCACCTTCTTAAGTGTTTAGCAGTTGTATGTGTATGTATCTTTATTATATGTGTTAACATGGTTATGATAATGAACTATCATAACCTGGGGGCTTTCTTTAGTAAGTAGTGGGGGTGTCCAGCCAAGTGTGCCTAGAAATATTGTATTTATATACTGATATATTTTGTAGTGCCAATACTTGAGTTGCCCTACCCCAGAGATAAGTTGAGCGTATATTGGCCACGGGGAATCCCTTAGACCAATACGAGCCAAACGACTCAACATAATTATCTCTGAGTGCTGTTGGTTCTGAAGGAGAAATCCTTACATTAGGCACGCGACAGGAGTGATATGTGACAACGTCCCTGATAGTGGTCGCTTTTTCTGCATTCCATACTTGGTTCTTAGATCACATACTCATTTGCCCTGGCCTTCTTCGGGGATAACCATTGTCGCCAATGTTTTGTGGTGCTCCTTAAATAACATTGGAAAGGAAGTCTTGCCCAGCTTATCCATAAAGTGTATACATGTTAAAAGAAGAGATTAGCTGAAATATTTAGATTCGACGTTTGATAGCTGTCTGTCCTACAGACAGAGCAGATTGTGATCAAATGCCAGTGTGTTCACGGAAGACGATGGTGGCGACATACATGGAACAGAGACTATTGGTCGTACTTTCAACCATTTGTTGACAGTAATTGATTATGTTCTATAAATTTTAACCCTATCAACTTCACTGTGTACAAAGCTTGAAAGGATTCATAATGAAGGAATGAGAATTGTCTTGGGTTGCACATGAGATACACCAGTTATAACAATGAGATATATGCTTAAGCTTATATCGTTAACGTCTACTGTAACTGGCGCAAGCCAAGGCGAGATGAGAGATACCAGCGATAAAAGGCTTCAGCTGTATGGCAGTCTGAAAAATTTTAAGAGAAGACAGGTTGAAACGAGGCAAGTCATGGATGGCACCAGCTGAAGAAACCATCGAGGTCGCGGCCTCAGTCGGACAAATACACAAGGAACAGGAATGGGTCTACACGAACAGCCTCAAAAGCAATTTTCATCAGGTCCAGGTCATTGTCACACGAGGAAGAGAATGTCGAGAATGTCGAGACTGGTATAACGGCTTGACAGAATTAGAGGTACAACAACTGATAAATGAAAAGGCTGGACTAGATGATGCCACAAGAGTACACCGATCGCTCTGTTTATCGGGGTGTAAGATCTGGCTAGGGGTTTTCAGCTAGAATAAAGGGAAATGTAGGCGGCCAATTTGCTATCAGGCACTAATAACGATCACCATAACCTCAGTGCCTGCTGCTGCAATCGTGTCTCGTCTTGTTCGACCAGGAAAAGTCCGAGGCCCAGGAGTCATAGCCTAGGTAGGCCTGCCCACTTCCCTACCCTCGCTCATTTCATGCATTCCCGTCCCAAGATAACTATCACCTTGTGAAGCTTTTCCCTGCCCTCTGGTATATCTATCTATTCCTCTTCTTTGCTACTCTCTTCACTGCAGACGCTTTTAATTTTCAGCTGGAACCATCCAGGATCTGCTTCTCTTTAGTCTGTTGACCTCCACGGAGTCAAATTTCCTATGAAGGATATGTTCAATATCACTTGCAACTCTGAGAAACAATGTTATGAGGATCATACATAGAAAAGATGTAACACGTGGCTGAATGGATGGGGTTTGTTAATGAAAACGTCAAGCTCTGCTCTTGATCTCCAAAGAAAAAACCAAACACACCGGTGGTGATAGCCAACAGTAATTCGATAAACCCAGTGTCACAGTGTAATGTGTACCACACAGAAAAGTTAGAAAACGTCCAGCACTTGATCGCCAAAGAAGAATGGAATGGCCTGTTAATACAATAATTCGATGACTTAATGACACACAGTTTAATTAGACTAAAGACTGAGGAGCTTCGATATTTGAACTCAAGAGCTGCCCTGCCTTACAGTGTATACAACTAACTAACTTACAACGTATACAATGTCTCATATAATGGCATCCCTCAGTCCCGGGGGACTATGGAGATGTGCCGCTGGCTTTGGGAACAGCATCTGCTGTGACTGTAAAGTCCGATGCGGGAATGGCAGTCTTTGCCACACAGGATACACACAAAAGCAGATACTCCCTCGTTGTGAGGAAGTTTTACTCTCCGGTGCCTCCTCTCCACAGCTCGTTGTGTTCGGTTTCTTTCAAAATGTGACAGTCCATCTTTCACTTTCTGTCTCCATAGTAGTCGATCTGCAGCTGATTTTTCCCATGTCTCTGTGCCTATGTTGGTATCTATTAGGTCACGTTTGCATACATCTTTATAGCGCAGCTTTGGCCTTCCTGTAGGTCTATTCCCAGTTACCAATTCACCATATAGGAGATCTTTTGGAATACGACCATCCTCCATGCGGGAGACATGTCCCAGCCAGCGCAGACGTCTTTGCTTCAGTATACAATACATTGATGGTATTTTTGCTCTTGTCAGCACACAATGTCTCAAGAAGCAACGAACATGACCCTATCAAGGTAAGCCACTCTTCTTGTCTATCTGTCATTTCTAGATGTTTGTTACCTCCCTTAGCTTAGTGACCCGCAGCTTCAGTCCTACATCGTTTTTTTAAACAACCCCCCCTCCACACACACAC